CCTCTTGAACTGGGCCAGGAAACCGCCCCTCCCCTGCTCCCCCAGGTGCACCGGGGCCTCGTGGCTCAGACCAGGTCCTGGTCCTCGGCCCTGCTCTGCCTCTGACAGCCAGGATCCCTGCGCTGGGGCCTCCTGAGAGCCAAGTGACAGTGACAGTGAGCAGCAGGCCTGGCCGAGTGGCCGGCAGCGCCAGAGGAGGTGGGCGGCCGGGCACCGGCCTGTGTGCTCGCGCCGATCTGATGAGGCCGATGAATGAGCCGAGAGCAGGTGCAGTGTCCACACACAGCCGCCCACCTCGGCGCCTGGCCGGGCCTGAACCGGGGCATTGTCTGGGGTCAGGGGCAGGGGGCAGGTGGGGTGCCCACAGCCCACGGAGTGCCCTAAACAAATACTGTGGGGGCTGTTTCAGTTCTGGGCTGCTTGTCAGGGTGCCCGTTTTCTGGGGACAGACTCTCATTGTGGCCACTCAGCCTGGCTTCTGAGGCCGAGCTTGGTTTCAAGACGCCGGTGGAGCCGCGACCACCCTCTGCAGAGAGCCCCGGGGGTCGAGGAAAGAGAAGCGTGCCGCCCGCCTCGGAAGCCGCAGGGACACGGCCGGCCCTCAGGCCTTCTCTGGCCACAGGACAAAGATGGCCAGCTTCTGGCTTGGTCCTGGCCAGTGTCTGGCCCTCCCTTGCCCTGCCACCCGGCCTGTGGCTGCGTGGGACCTGCGTCCCCTCCGGCTCCCGGGCAGGAGTCACCCAGACTCCGAACCCATCCCGTGGGCGTGGAGGGACTGCGAGGGTCCGATTGGCCAGGCCCCAGCCTCCGGTCCTCCTGTGCCCAGCGGACCTGAGACAGGTGAGTGGGCTCGAGCGGCAGAAACAGCAGCTGCCCGCGGCCCCTGCTTAGTGGAAAGAGGAGCCCGGAGTCTGGACACAGCCTGGCCCCTCCTTGCCCCGCTCCCTCTCCATCTCTGGGCCTCAGTTTCCCTAACTGGGCATGAGGGAGGCAGGTAGTGACCACACCCCTTATCAAGGAGACCAGCCCGTAAGGAGAGTGAAAGGGATGCTGTTGATGAGTACACAGAATGGGGCGCCCTGGGGACCACTGTCTCGAGGGGCCCTCTCCGCTCCGAAGCCCGTGGGTGGAGACCTCAGCTCTGCCACCTTCTGGTTGGGAGCCGGAGCTCTGACGCCCTGAGCCTCAGTGTCCTGACATGCACAGTGGGGTGACCGCTTGGAGGGTGGAGCATAAGGGCATGGGGCGGGGGGGGGGCTGCAGCCTGGGCCAGCTCACAGGGCCCTCCGGCCCCCGGCGGCCGTGTCCCTTTCCCTTAGGGCTGACTGTGCGCCCGAGTCGTCAGAGGCCGGCCCGGGCGGCCCGGAGCGACGGCAGCAGGCCTGGAGGGGTAGGGCCGACGCTGCGTCCAGCTCGGAGCCCCGAGAGGAAGCCTGGCCTTGCCGGCTGCTACTGTGGTCAGGAGCTGTGTAATTAACTCTAAAAATGGGAGGCGAGGAGGAATTAAAATAAACGCTCAGTGGAAATTAGAGATGGGTGATGCGCAGAAACAGCGGAGCCTGGTGGCAGCTGCAGCTTCCTGGGGACGGGCGGGCGGGGCTGAGGTGGGCAGGGGGGCGCTGCGCGCACACCCCTCCTCGACATGCAGGCCCGGCGTGTCCCGTGTCCCGTGTCCCACAGACCGGGGGCTTAAGGCAACAGGAACGTCCCTGTCGTGCTCCGGAGGCCGCAGCCCAAGGTCAGCTCGGCAGGACTGGCCCTTTCTTGAGCTCTGAGGGAGTGTGTCCCAGGTGTCCCCAGCTTCTGGTGGTCCCCTGGCCACCTCTGCTTTCTCGGCTCTTGGGAACAGCACCCCGATCTCTGCCCCTGTCGTGGTCACGGTGCCTCCTCCCTGTGGGTCTGTGTCCTTGTCCCTTATTTATTTTCATTTTTATATTTCGTTTAAATCCTCACCCGAGGATATTTTTCCATTTATCTTCAGACAGAGAGGGAGGGAGGGAGGGAGGGAGGGAGGGAGGAACAAACAGTGACGTGAGAGAGACACATCGATGGGTTGCCTCCCAAACAACCCTGACCAGGGCTGGGGACTGAACCACAACCGAAGTACGTGCTCTTGACGGGAATTGAACCTGTGACTCTGGTCCACAGGCCGATGCGCTAACTGCTGAGCAAATGGGCCAGGGCCCCTTAGTTTGTTTGTTTATTTATTTTAACTCATCTTTAGTGTTGAATGTATTACAGATGTCCCCCTTTTTCCCCCCATTGACCCCCTCCTCTCCAATCCTGCCCCCTCCAGCCTTCCCCACACTGTTGTCAGTGTCCATTGGTTATGCATGGAAGTTGTTTGGTTTAGTTCATCCTGCCCTCCCTCCTTTCTTCCCTTTGAGGTTCATCAGTCTCACAGCCTATTTGTCCTCCTTAATTCCTTCATCTTTGCCACCCATCCCTCCAGCCCCCTCCCATCTGGCAAGCAACAAAAGTTCTCTGTGTCTGTGAGTCCGTTTCTGTTCTGCTTGCTCATTTTGTTTGTAGATTTAATTGTTGATAGGTATGTATTAATCGCCATTTTATTGTTCATATTTTTGTTTTTCTTCTTCATCGTTTCACATAATACTAATTTAGTGGTGATGAACTCCTATAGTTTTTTCTTGTCTGGAAAACTATATGTTCATTGATTCTAAATGATAGCTTTGCAGGATAGAGTAATCTTGGTTGTAAGGCGTTGTTTTTCATCACCTTGAATATCCCTTGCCACTCCCTTCTGGCCTGCAAAGTTTCTTTTGAGAAATAGCTGACAGTCTTATGGGAACTCCTTTGTAGGTAACGGACTGCTTTTCTCTTGCTGCTTTTAAGATTCTCTCTTTGTCTTTAACCTTTGGCATTTTGATGATAATGTGTCTTGATGTGGACCTCTTTGGGCTCCTCTTGTTTGGGACTCTGTGATTCCTGGACTTATATGTCTGTTTCCTTCACCAAGTTAGGGAAGTTTTCTGTCATTATTGTTTCAAAGAGGTTTTCAGTTTCTTGCTCTCTCTCTTCTTCTTCTGGCACCCCTATGATGCGAATGTTGGCACGCTTGAAGTTGTCCCAGAGGCTCCTTACACTATGCTCATTTTTTGGATTCTTTTTTGTTTTTGCTGTTCTGATTAAATGTTTTTTGCTTCCTTATATTCCAAATCGATGGTTTGCTTCTTGGCTTTACTTACTCTATTATTGATTCCCTGTAAATTACTCTTTATTTCAGTTGTTGATGTTCTCACTAAGTTCCTTGGAGGTCTCCTTAAGTTCCTTGAAGGTCTCACTAAGTTCCTTGAATGTCTCACCAAGTTCCTTGAGCAACCTTTAACCGGTGTTTTTTTTAAAGTTTGGGTTTTTGCTCTGGCCTGTTTGGCTCAACGGTTAGAGCGTTGGCCTGCAGACCAATGAGTTGCGGGTTTGATTCCGGCCAAAGGCAGGTACCTCGCTTGCGGTTCGCCCCTGGGCCTATTTGGGGTCGTGTGGGAGGCAGCCACTCGATGTGTCCCTTTCACGTCGATGTCTCCCTGCCCCCCCACTCTATCTGAACAAAAATGGAGAAAAGGTGCTTGGGGTGAGGATACAAAAAACCAACCAAACAAACAAAAAATAAAGTTTGGGCTTTTAATTATTTTTTTTCTTGATTGAGTTTAGAGAGATAGGAAGGGAGAGGGAGAGAGAGACACACACATTGATTGGCTGCCTCTTACATGCCCCCCACTGGGGATTGGGTCCACAACTTGGGCATGTGCCCTGACCAGGAATTGAACTGGTGACCTCTTGGTGCATGGGTCGATGCTCAACCACTGAGCCACACCCGCCAGACAATCACTGTTTTGAACTTTGCATCTGGTTGATTGCTTATCTCCATTTTGTTTCATTCTTTTCCTGGAGTTTTGTTCTTTTCTTTCATTTGGGATGTGTTTCTTTGTCTCTTTTTGGCTGTTTCCCTGTGATTGTTTCTATGTATTAGGTAGAGTTGCTATGTCTCCTAGGCCTGGTAGGGTGGCCTATTGTAGTAGGTGTCCTGTGGGGTCCAGTGGCACAGCCTCCTTGATCACCCCAGCTGGGCCCTAGTGTGGACTGTACACCCTTCTGTTGTAATTGATTCTTGATTGCTGTTGGCACGTCAACGGGAAGGATTTACTCAGGCTGATCAGCTGCAAGGACTGTGCCCACTGACCTCTGGCCTCTGACTCCCTTGGAGGATCAGCTGTGCAGGGGCCATCACACAGAGCAAGACTTACTTCAGCAGGGCTCTGGTACCCTCTGAGTCTGCTCATTGAGTGTGTCACTTGTGGAGGTGGTTGAGTGGTGGTGTTTCCATGTGGTCTGAAGCTGTCCACTGGGTGTGCTGGCTCTGGGGCAAGGTCAGCCACTCCTGTGTTCTACTCGGGGCCACCAGGCATAAGCCACCCCCACAAGTTCTTAACCAGCTCCGTTCACCCCCACGCCTCATGCCTGTTGCGTTGCCAGGCCCAGTGCAGGCTGGAAGCCCAGGTGTTGGGGTGCTGGGTGGAGGAGCTGCCTGGATGTTGGTCTGGGAATTCTGGCCTTTGTGTGGGCCCCGGCCCCCCACTCTGGCGGACCTGTGCTGCTCTCGCCCCCCGCAACCGTCACTTGCAAAGTTACTGGGGTTAGTCTGTGCCCAGGAAGGTGGTGCATGTTTACCAGTGTGTGTGCATGCCTGTGCGCATGTGTGCGTGTGTGTGCATGTGTGTGCGCACGCTCCGGCTTTGCTCACTCAAGGCCAGCGTCTTTTTTCCCCATCGAGATGGTCAAGTTGGAATGTGCTGGGTCCCCTCGGACACGGTGGTGAGTGGCTGGGGCGAGCCTGGGCTGTCTATGACGTCGATCCGGGCCGGCGGGTCGGCGGCCGGCACGCCTCCCAGGGCTGGGTGTGCTGTCCTGGGCCCCGGAAGTCGCTGTTTCTGCTGCTGCTGCTGTTGGTGCCGGGTTAATGGCTTTTCTCTTCTCTTCCCCAGTTCCTGTGTCTGAAGAACATTCGCACCTTCCTGAAAGTCTGCCATGATAAGTTCGGGTTAAGAAACAGTGAGCTGTTCGACCCTTTCGACCTCTTCGATGTCCGAGACTTTGGGAAGGTGAGTGACCCCCCACCCGTTTCGGTCACCCAGGTGGCGGCTGAGGGCCGGCTCCGCGGCAGGTGGGCCAGATGCACGGACCGGACCCAGCCCCGCGGCACGGCCGGGAGGTGCAGGCGGGTTTGTGGGGCAAACAGGAGGGGCCTGGGGGCAGCAGACCGTTCACGGTGAGGCCAGGCCTGGTGAATCCGGTAGGGTGGAGGGACAGCAGGGCGTGGATAAGGACAGAGCCGGGAGGAGCCCTAGCCCCGCCTTTCCAGCTGGGGGACCCCGAGCGTTGACTTCCTGCCCCGGATCTTCGATTCTTTGTGGGAGAGTGGGCTGCGTGCGCCCCAGCTCCCGAGGCTCGGCCGAGGGCACGCAGGTGTGCGGTAGCGCTCTGTGAGAGGGGCCGTGCGGTCACGCTGGAGCCGGGCTCCGACAGGTGTGAGGCTAGCACGGGTGATCGCCTAGGTCCGTGGCCGATAACCCGGAAGCCTCCCTGTGTCCCTGGAAAGTGTCACTTGGCCGCTGCCCTGCAAAGCCCTGCCGGTGCTGGTAAGGGAAACAGTCTGGGCAGGTGCAAAGGCTGGTTTTCAGCTTCCTGGTGAGCTTGGGTACCATGCGCCATCAGACAGCACAGCAGGTCCCAGGCCGCTCCCTTGAAATTGCTGGGATCAGGGCCCTGATGACTTCTTGGTGGCTCTTGGCTGCGGGGGTGAGTGTCGCCCAGGTTCCCCGAGGCCCCTTCGAGCTCTTGTAGGGTCTCCATGCCGGCCCCTTCCCCTGCTGCTGGCACGAGTCAGCGGAACGGCTGCTTCCCGGACCCCCGACGGGCCAGTCTCCAGCCGCTGATGGGAACTCTCAGGAGATGTTTATCGCCTGATTCATCTGCGGACCAGTGTCAGGGACCCGGTGTTGGGGGAGGTGTTCTGCGGACACGTGATTTACGAAGTGCGAATGGAGTTTTGTACCTGCAGTTGCAGATGCTGAGAAGTCAGTGTCCGAAGGCTGTTAGGTTTCAGGTGGGCATCGGTGGCTGGGACTTTCCCATGAGCCACCCGGGCCTGGCAGTGTTCTTCCTTAGTCCCAAAATTCTCTAGAGACGAGATTCCGGGACCTGTTCGAGAGCTCGTCGCTTGGTGCAGTCTCCCAGTCCTTAGGTTCCATGTCCTGGTGGCCCTCCCCGGGACTCGGACGGAGCCATGCTGCTCTGCCCGGGGGCATCTGCCGGGCACAGCTGCTGAGGCTTCAGTGGAGTCGTGTGGCTTCCTTGCCTATACGTGGCTTCTCAGTTCCCGCTGTGGGACATGGTGAGACCCGCCTTCTCTGCCTGAGGCCCCGAGGGATGGCAGGCGCTCATGGACTCCAGGGAGCCTGTCTCCCCGGCTCTTACAGGAGGAGCCCGGGAGGCCTTCTGGGGGGCACCCCGCTCGAGGCCCCCGCACCCTCAGTGCGTCAGGAGGCTCCGGCTGACCCAGCTGCCTTGCTGGGCTTGGAGAGATGGGACATGCTGGTGGCCCCCAGGACCTCCCCCTGGAGGTGCCCCCTCGCCGTGTCGGGGACCAGCCTCCAGTGAGGTCCATCGCTGCTCCCCAGCCAGGCTGCCCGACATCCAGGGACCCGCCGGTCAGCTCGGCCCACACTCACCTCCATTTCGGGCAGAATGAAGAACCCAAGGGGAAGGTCTGTGCGGCTGTGTTTGCTGTTTGAGTTGAAGAGAACACCCTTTCATAAACGGTTTAACTCTCCTGTTTATTGTTTATTAAAACATTTTGCCAGGCTCAGGCCTTCTGAAGCAGTTAAACCTGAATACGGGGCAGGCCGCATATTCATTTAGCGTGGAGCGGGCCGCGCAGCCAGTCCACGCGTGTGCGCCGTCTGTCCAGCGGCCTCCGTGCTCCCCCCCCCCCCGCAGTGAGCACTCACGTGTGTGGACTCCACGCGCTGTGTGCTGGGCTCTTGACGTCCATGAGCCTCGGCCAACCTTCAGGGACCTCAGGAAGGAAGGAAGGAAACCGAGGCCCAGAAGGAGGTGCGTCTCGCTCGTGGCCACAGTGACCGTGGAACCCGGGGTCTGGTCGGGTCCTGCTGCCGGCAGAGATCAAGTCCTACGCGTGCTGCTGTGCCCCTGCCCGCTGCCGGGGGGGCAGCTCTTGGCAAGGACAGGCGTGGTCAGCGTGGTTCTGCCAGCGGCAGGGGTGGAGGAGCCGGGCAGGAGGCCCGCGCGGAGGCCCTGCCGTGCACAGACACCTGCCCACCACTGTCCCCCTTCTCGATGCCATGCTTCTGGAAGGGAAGGTGGGCCAGGGGAGACACTGTCAGGGCCCAGGACAGAATGTGACACTGAGGAGCGGGCCAGCGTCAGCACCCAGACAACACAGGGCTTGACCGTGGTCACCTCCCTCTCAGGCTGTGGTTCCCCGAACGTCAAGTGCCTCTGAGGACTGCTGGACGGTCTGAGATGGCGCATGGTGTGCCGCCAGCCCATCTGGGCGGAGGGTGGCCTCGGCCATGGCCGGGTGCAGCCCGGAGACCCGCCTCACCCAGCACTCCAGCGCCGCCGATGCGTGTGGAGCCGCCACGCGCCACGTGCTGATTTCCCCGGGCGGGCCCGGTCAGGAGGATGGAGCAGCCAGCCTTGGGGTAGCGGTCTGACACCCCTCCTCCCCACACCCAGGCCCTGCGCCTCCGTGTGTCTGCTCATCAGTTTGCCGAGCGCAGGTGGCCCTGGTTCACTGGGGGCCCTTCTGGCTGCGCTGCGGGGAGTCATCTGCTGCCCCCCTCTCAGCGCCGGGAGAGACTCTGCGCTTCACACGGCAGCAGCTCTGCCGATTGCTTACTGCGCAGCCTCGGAGTGGGCGCAGCCTCGGGCTGGTGGCCCGGGCAGCTGGCTCAGGCCTTCGGAGTTTCTGCTTGAAATCGCTTCCTCTTTCATCTGCTTGTTGTCATTTTAGGATGATATCAGCCCACCTGCTTCCAGAAGAACTTGACAGCCAGGCACACCTGTGCGCACACACACACCTGCACACACGTGTACACAGTCTGCACACACACCTGCACACACATGTACAGTCTGCGCGCACGCACACACACACACCTGTATGCACACACCGGCACACACATGTACAAATCAGCACACACCTGCACACATTCAGCATATACACCTGCACATGTGTGCACATATGTACACACTCACACACCTGCATACAGTACATATGTGCGCACACACACAGAGTCAGATAAACCCATCCACTCCTGACCCGTGTGTTTACGTGTTTTCTCTTTGCTCCCTCTCCCACGGGATCCGCGGCCGTTGTCGCCTTCTTGGTGGCTGACGGTGGGGGATGTGGGTTTCGGTAGCTGGGTCCCTGCGGATCTGACGAGCTGAGCGCTGGGAGGTGTGGGCCTCCCTCCCACGTGAGATGCTCGCAGCACGTGTGACGGTCCGGGGAGCCTCGGGGGCTCTGTTCTGATGCCTCCGTGCGGCCCCAGGAGGGTGGTGATTCCAGACCCGGGTCGGGTCTCTGAGAGGGGCCGTTGGCGGCGCAGGTGGGTCTTTGACCCCTGGTGAGCGATCGCACCTGTTGACTCCCTTCTCGCTGACAGTTCAGACTGGGGAGAAGGGGCTCCGGGTCCGGTGGTGCAGCCGTCACACCTGGTGGAGAAGCCTGGGATGGAGGGCAGGGGACAGGAGCGGTGCCACTGCCCAGGGCAGGTCGCGGCTCGCCTCTGAGGGCCTCAGTGGCCCCGTCCGAGAGCTGACGGTTGGGCTGGCTGGATGGCCTCTTGATGGCGGCCATCAGGGGGGCCTCTGTTGTCCCCATGGGCATCTTGGTCGCCTCTCCTCGTCTGCTCGAATTTTCCAGCTAGTCCAGTGTGTGTGCATGCTTTTCTTTGCCTGTGTTAATTAAATTTTAATTGGCTAATTGTTTCTCTCGAGCGCCCCAAGACATTGTTTCTATTGAAGCCTGACAATTTTTTTTTCTTAATCCTTACTCGAGGATATTCTTCCATTGATTTTCTGATAGAGTGGGAGGGAGGGAGGGAGGGAGGGAGAAACATCGATGTGAGAGAGACACATCCATTGGTTGCCTCCCTCACGGCCCGACCCACAACCGAGGTATGTGCCCTTGACCGGAATCGAACCCGAGACTGTTCCTTGGGCCGACGCTCCAACTGCTGAGCCACAGTGGCCAGGGCAGAAGCCTGACAATTTGATGTTTGTTGCCAAAAAGGATGAAGGAGACTAAGAAGGTGAGAAGAAAAAAGTATCACAATGGGCCCTGGCTGGTTTGGCTCAGCGGTTAGAGCGTCGGCCTGCGGTCCTGAGAGACCCGGGTTCGGTTCCCACTAAGGGCACGCACCTCGGTTGCAGTTTGTCCCCGGCCCTGGTTGGGTTGTGCGGGTGGCAGCCACTCGATGTGTTCCTTTGCATCGATGTTTCTCTCTCTCTCTCTGTTCCTCTCTCTCCCTCCCACTCTACCTGAACAAAAAATGGAAAAATGTCCCCGGGTGAGGATAAAAAAAAAAAAAAAAAAAAAAAGTATCACAATGGAAAGATTCATTGTAACCAAGTGTCTTGTTGCGGAGCTGGAGGTCCTTCCCCATGCTTCCTGAGATACTGTGGTCTGCGGCCTGTCGGGCCCTGGGGGGGTGGCCCCCGGAATCACAAGGCGTGTAGCTGTGACCTTCTGGGGTGGCCCTGCCGCATTCACAGTGCTTCCCCTGACCTCAGCAGCGCGGGTGCTGGTGAGCCTGCACAGCCCCTCTGCCTGCAACCCAGAGCAGGGAGGTTGGGCTGCAGCCCTGGGGGGTGCATCCTGGGTGATGCTCTTGGGCGTCCACTGAAAACAGTTATCACGATACAATGGACACAACCTGGTATTTACCATTGTAACCGTGTAGAAACATGTATACGTAGCTCATGCCATTCACTGTATCCATAGGGAGCGGCCAACAATACTGTTTGGTTTCAAAATTTTTTTTAAATCCTTGCCCGAGGATATGTTTGCCACTGA